TAGATAGATAGATAGATAGATAGATAGATAGATAGATAGATAGAAAAAAGCAACTTGATTCTCCATGCATTCTCCATGCATTTTAATATTTCGAGAGATTGTGTCTGAGACCCTCCCTGGTTGTAAGCCGGCCTGATACTTTCCATGTGTCCTGCTCTATGATCTGTATGATGGGCTACAGCAGACAGGCAGGACGAGGGGTAGGGGAAGGGGTGGTAGCATGTGGAAAATAAAAGAGTAAAGAAACAGGGATGGGGGATTGGAATACTGCACCTTGTTACCATTGGGTCGACTGTTAAGTTTTACAAGTAACGTTTTGTGAGCTTATAAACGATACTTTCTAAACTCACACAGGAAACTCGGAAAACACGCTGTGATAATATTCCTCTGTGGAATCCAGTTGATATCCCAGTCTGGTGAGCTCTGCCATCTACAGAGGTATCGATTACATGAGGCTATTCTCATCTTTGATTACCTAACGCTGGCTAATAAAATAAAATAGAAAAACTCAGTCTGGAAGTGGGCATGCTTTTCCCCTAGCTCTGAAAAAAATATATATATATATAAAAATATAATAATAATAATAATAATAATAGTTGATGCGGCAATCAAATAGTCTGCACTCTTTTGCACGGCAGTTAACGTCTTAAGTCATTTAAATCATACATAAAAACATTTATATAAAAGAGCTCAAAAAAGCTCAACCGATTACACTGAAATGATGACAAGAGTTTCAGCAATGTTTTCACATGCACACAAATACCGAATCTATCATATGTAAGTTCTTACCATGGGCTGCATGTTGGACGAAACGTTTTCCTCTCTTCTACTTCCCCTATGCAAAATAATGAAGGGAGGCTGCGCAGCTCCGACCGGATAGGCTTCGTATTGGCTGACAACCTCTCCAGGGCAGAGCAACCAATGAGACCAGAGAGGGGGCTTGGCGTATTGCAACGAAGATTGACGTGGAGGACGCGTCAAATTAATTCCAGCAAGCTCTGAACTCCCCGGGATAACTCCAATTTGCATTTATCGGATGAAGATCACTGTGGTGCCATTGCGCGCAACGGGTTTCCAAATATAAGACGGGGAGCGCGCTGGAGTCGTGAGGAGGCTGATAGAGGTCCACTCTTTTCCCCTGTTTGTTTGGGTTCATTCCTCTCGCTCCCTCCTTCCTCGTCTGGATTGACTATAGGACGCATTCAGCTATCTGGAGGGACACCTTTTACTTCCCGGCATCTCACACCAGTATAGGCAAATGGGTAAGCCCAAAGCGTGCATGCTCCAGTGATGTTATAGAAGCGTTACGACCTCGCCACAGCAGAGTAAAGACAAAAAAAAAATGTATTAGACAATGGCCAAAAGGGGGGAGATCTTTGGCGACAATTTGCGAACTGTATTTAATAGTGGATTTTTTTCCCCTGACTGCATGTTTGGGACTTTAACTCGTAAATGGAACCACATCAACCAATTACAAGGCGAGACGTTTTTTTGAAGGGCTCTCTACTGTCTAAACTTCAAGCTCGCCATATTTAATGTTGTTTTCATGCATGGTGGGGTAAGGATGCGGCAATCAAATAGTCTGCACTCTTTTGCACGGCTGTAAAATAGCGCATAGAAGCCCCAAAATCACCTATGATTAACATAAACAGATTTCTAAACTCGGTTAGGACGCAAGCTGATTATTTCAGTTGCTCTTGCGGGAAGATGTGATTTATTTTATTTGTGTTATTATTATTTTTTGTACTGTTGTTAAAAGTTACAATTTAATTCCCTTCCCCCCTGCAGAGCAAACCTATGGAGAGGTGAACCAACTAGGCGGCGTGTTTGTCAACGGGAGACCCCTGCCCAACGCCATAAGGTTGAGAATCGTGGAGCTGGCCCAGCTAGGGATCCGACCCTGCGACATAAGCCGGCAGCTGCGAGTCTCCCATGGCTGCGTGAGCAAGATTTTAGCGAGGTACAACGAGACGGGATCCATCTTGCCCGGTGCCATCGGTGGGAGCAAGCCGCGCGTAACGACGCCAAACGTGGTGAAGAACATCAGGGAATACAAACAGAGCGACCCCGGGATCTTTGCCTGGGAGATCAGGGACAGGCTTCTAGCCGACGGTGTTTGCGACAAGTACAATGTTCCCTCCGTGAGCTCGATCAGTAGGATTTTACGCAACAAGATCGGGAATCTCTCCCAGCCTAACCAGTACGAGAGTAGCAAGCAAGCCTCCGCTCAGGCCGGGCTCTCCTACAACCACATATACCCTTACTCCTACACCAACACAATGTCTCCAACGGGCACCAAAATGGGCACCCCACCTGGAGTACCGGTAACTGCTGGGCATGTGAGCATATCGAGGGCCTGGCCTTCCCCGCACACCGTCAGCAACATCCTGGGAATACGAGCGTTCATGGATCCTACAGGTGAGAGTGAAACACATCTTTCTAACTGCGTTCTGAAAACTTGTAAGAGACTGGCTGTTCCCAAGCGAGAGGTCTGCAAACTCAAGCAGCTGCGCATTGTTCTTTTTATTCTGCATGATCAATTGTCCTATCATCTGGTACATCTGTTATGGCATCAGGTAGAACGAAAAAAAAAATCATTGAAAGTTATACCAGTCCTCCATTTCACCATTCAGCCAGAACGCAGTAAGGCCAATCTCAATAGACCTTTTCATGGGATGATGCATTTGCAAACACCTTGCTCACCTGCTATATATCCAAGCTGATCCTTTAAATATCGGATAAAAGCATTTTATCTTCCTTTTCCTGATTTTTAGCACCGTGTCTTCACTGTCACGTTGCTTTGTGTATTTTAAACGTGCCTTTAAAATATTTTTTAGTAATCATACGATCATAAATTACAGTAGCAGAATTTACTTAAAAATCTTCTGTATATTTTTACTTCTTAAGAATATTTAGAATTCGGATATCAGGGAAAAAAATCGTTTTTTAATCAATGGAAATATTTATTGTAATTTATTTTTTGTTTTTCAAGAACATTAGTTACATTTCTACAACTTCAGGTTAAAATAACACTTCATGTGTACCTTACTTGTTTATTAATAGTTAATAAAGCATATATTCACATATAAATATTTTATAATCTATTGTTTTATCTACTTTATTTTATTTTGCCATATATAATTTAATGTTTTCTCTGATGTTTTAAAACTGTTTCATAATAAGGCTGTGGCTGCAAAATGACTTACGAATAATCTAGCTTTAAGAATATATTTTCAAAATAAATTTTGAATGCCCTCAGATCAAGTAAAACTACAGTTATTAAACAATTTTTACATAAGTTGACTGCTTTCAATTTAGCAATTGCTGGAACGGAGGGATATCCGACAAAAATGGAGGACTGGAGCAGCGTGAACAGAGCAGCTTTCCCTGCTTCTCACACGGTCAACGGGATCGACAAGCCAGGCATCGACGCTGACATAAAATACGCTCAGGTAAAACAAAAAGCGTCCTGACATAAAAAAAAAAAATATATATATATATATATATAT